AAACCCAAAACTTCAGTGATATCAGAAAAAAATATGTTTTATCGTATTAATAATTAAAAAAAGATGTATAAACATTGTGAAAGTGTCGCATTTTACGATAAAAGACACCGATTTAGCAAAGATGACGTCATTAGTGCGCTTACATCAGGGAATTCAAGGTCAAAAGGTCAATTCAGACCCTGATAAGTTATTGGTCGAGCCTTTTTGTTTCCTTTATTCCGACAAAATTATACAATCAATCAAAACAAGTTTGATACCAGAAGAAAGCTAACGATTAGTATTTTCATTAACCGCTTGCCCCAAAGTCTCTTGACCACAGTGAAACGAGTGAGAGCTTGCGAGAGCGGCCAAAGTGTGATTTAAAACTCGCTATTTGCTCTTCTCCAACGCAAAAAGAGACGACATTGTGCTGGATAAATGTATTTATTCCGACCAAAGTACAGAAAATTTGCATATGGTCTTTTTATATTATACTTAATGAAATGTTACCTGAGTGATTTCCGGGCGCCCCAATGCTGGAAAGAAACGCACATTTTAGAAAACTTCACTTTTTCATGGAAAAATGCTTATTTGTTCTATGCACGCAAGTCAGATTGAGCGGATGATACAACGTTTCCATATGACGTTAGACAATAGACTGTTTTGCCGGGGACGCGACATTCTCACAAAGAGATAGACTCCTCCCATTTTTGTCGGTGACTAGTTCAAATCACTCTTATCTATGATGCTTTGTCATTGGTTATAATTAATTAAATGACCTAAGGGTAATTTAATATATCCCGTCTTGTAATTGATTGTCTGCGTAAGGGTCCCCCTGGTTGGCTGGGTATATCATGTGATATCTAAGCCTCGTCGGGTGCCGCAGTATTTAAAGATGAAGTTGAGTTCTGGTCATGCGATTGCATTGTGAAAGAAACGGTGTGGAATCGGCCAGAAAAGGTTGATCATCTAGCAAATAAGAATTTGTGTGTATTGCAAGGTTCTGGAATCATCAAAATGAAAAGAAATTTGGCCAAGTCTTGGTAAAGTTACAAATACAGTACACAGAAAGATGTATATGGGACTACACGAACACGTGGCGTAAAAATCCTACCCCCGAGTTTTACGATGTTACATGACATATTTAGAATATAAAGGCAGTTGAAGAGCCATGCTTTTCAGGGAACATGTCTTATCTGATGTTTTTCCACACTTGCATAATAAGAATGAACACGCTCACAAATTATTTTTCACCTCTTCCCAGAACTCAACCTCTTTAAAATGCCATGTGCGGGATTTTGTGGACAGTTTATTTCATTCCTTTAACATGTTTAGTAGGATGTGCTGCTAGTTACTATCAATATGGCCGCCCAGCCTCTGAGAGAAGCAGCTTATTTAAAATGTTTATACAATAATTACTCTTCGTTTGTAACGATTGGAGCTTCGGCTGACTTATATAATTAATAAAGTGGACTTCAACTGTAATTCCGAGCTTCTTTTGTTTTCATTTATATTTGAACTTGTCGTCTCCAACTCATGAACTGGCCCACCAAAATGTTGACCATGAACAAGGTGCGAGTATTTTCTTTTTAATAATAGGGGTTAACTGTGCAGTGCTAAACTATACTTTCCCTTTCCTTCCTCTCCAAGAGAGTTAGTTATAACTCGTTAGCTATAATGATTGGTATCTACCTGTAGCTTTTATGAAAGCCAGCAGAGTGTGCAGATGATCTTCATTCCCCAGTAAATTCTTTAAACTCTTATCTTTAATTTTCAACCGAGAAAACAACCTTTTCCTCTCTCGTACATATTTCTTACACACCAATAAATAATGTTCGATTGTTTCAGTTTCATAACAAAAATCACAAAGGCCATTTTCATGTTTATTGATAATGAATTTGTAAAAGTTTAATTTGCATTTTCCCATTCTCATTTGATGTAATAATCTTTCATCTTTTCCACAAAAACCAGATACGTTAATAAGTCTCGTTATATATGGATGGATCTGAAATAAGAATCTACCTTTGTTTATTGTTTCCCACTGATTTTGCCATAAATGCTGATAAAAATGACGCACGTGGTTAGTTAATTCAGACCTATTGCGTGGAACAGTTACATCATTGTTCTTTTTGTGTTGCATTTTTAGCCACTTTAGCGAAAATGGTCTATTGACACACGTTGGTCTCTTTGCCAATCCGCTGGGATAGAGATGTCTATCCTCCACAGGGGCCCCACTCACAAGCATTGCTTTTTAGGGTCTCAATTTGGATCATGTTTGTTCGTCATCATGATTACTATGCCATGTGTTTTTTAATAAACTGAACTGAACTGAACTGAACTATTGACCGACACATTGACAAATTTTTAACCCTCATCCATTATTTCTTTAGTCGGGGGCAGATTAGTGTTGTAAATTGACAATCAGCATGCTTCAGCTGGATCCAGCTAATGCTTTGAAGCACTTGTACAGTGCGTCCCAGAAAAAACGAACCCGAGAGTTATAGATGTTTTATCATAACTTAATCACAATTATAACTAATAAATGACATATATTCGTAAAGCTTAGATCAACCTCTTTCATTTGATGGCTAGATTTCTAAAGAGAGATATATAAATATATATGCAATTCATATATATAAATATGTAAGTACTTATGTACATGTGTGTGTTGGACATCATTTTAAACACGCCCACGGCATTAAAGGGACCAGATAATATTGTTCAGATGACAGAAAAGGGTGCTGAGGGGCAGATGTACAATTAAATATAATCTGAAAATTTGAGTGAAAACATACCATTGTAAAACTGATCTGATCGATCCCCTAATTCTAACTATAGTATTACAATTTAATTACATTTTAGGTGAATGAAAATCGGCATAAAGCAATGAATTGGCTCTTTGTACTATTCCAGACATTCATGTGTTGAAGTATTTTTAAGAGCCTGTTTTATGTCCTTTTTTCATGGAAAAACGGTTGGGAAATTTCAAAAACGGATGGAAGCATTTAATAATAATAATATATATGTTTGCTTATATAGCACCTAACACTTACTTTATCAGAAGTCTTTAAGCGCTCTACAATAATGCAGCATAATTACCCTGGCTTTAGCAATGCAGCTGTTACGCGCGCTGCGTTTCAAGGAATGAATTCCTACCAGGTACCCATTTACTTCAATTCAATTCAGTTTATTTAACCATAAAAATGCAACATGTACATACAAATGAGTAACATAGTAAACATAATACGGTAAAGGACACCCTTAGAAGCAAATTGCTTGTGGTGGGGCCTTAAAAAGAAAAACAAACTTCACATAAATTATACAGTTTAAAAACTTTAAAATAACATGATACAAACACACATGCACGCTCACACATATAAATACACACATACATTCAAAATATCCTCCTCAGCTCAAACTTGTTTACATAAATCATTAAATAATAACTGTGTACATCGTAATTTAAATCGAGCTAGAGTTGTACTTTCCTTAATATCATTACTCAAATTATTCCATTCCTTAATGCCATTTAAATAGAAAGAATTTTGTGCATTTGTCGTACGAACTTTAAATAAATGTAAATCATTTTTCTGACGAGTATAATACGAGTGAATATCGCTATTAATAACAAAGTTTATATTAGGAATTTCTGGCAATAGGCGATTTTGAAATTTAAACATAAATATGCGAGTATTAAATTGAATCAATTCAAAAATTGGGACTACGTGTGTTTTAACAAAAAGTGGCCGTGATGGGGCTAAATAATCAGATTTAGTAATAATACGCACGGCTCGTTTCTGTAACAAATAAATCTTAGTCATATATGATGCATAAGTATTTCCCCAAATAATATTACAATAATTTACATGTGGAAAAATCATACTATTATACAACATTAGCAAAATATTTGATGGTAAAACATGGTTTAGCTTTGACCTGGGTGGAGTGTGGCAAATGTAGGTCAATGTCTTGCCAAAGGACATTAGTGCGGCGGCGGGACTCGAACTACGGACCTTGTCATCGACAGTCCGGCGACGTATCCCCTCGGCCTCAACACCTCTACAATTTACTGTTAGAGGGTGTCGCACAGTGACACATTCAAAGAAAACCATAAAATTCTTTGTAGTTTGAGAATTTTTTTCAGGATTTATCTGCATTTTAGAAGGTTAATACAGTAGAAGGAATATGATAAGTAACATTTAATACAAAAATTACGCAGTTTTGTCATCAATTTTCAATATTGTTACCGAGTCATTTTAAGAAAGTTTGATTTCTATTTTCCCAAAGCGCGTGCTCCAGAAGATTTTTTGTTTTGTTATATCGACACATCTAAAGTGCCTGTCTATAGTATGTTTACTCAAATATACTTGAACTATTTTGATTTCAAATGTTGTTTATGTTTTAAACTGGAAACAAATTCAAGACAGTGCAATACGTAGGCCTAGTCCTACAACAATAAGGGTCATAACAATCGAAGTGGCATAGGGCTAGTCATTTGAAAAATGTAATTACACCAATATTCAGCTTAAGTTACGTTGTTGTTGATGTGTTTTTTGGTTGATGTGGTTATATATGTTCATACGTTATCCTTATACATTGAAGCCTGGAGATACCCCCATGCAGACACCGGTAGCATTGCCATTCCTAAAACAAGCGAGCAAGGATACGTTCCTTACGCATTGATTAGTGTGCCCCCTGTTGGTTAAGTCTATATACGTACACCACTGTTGAAGGACGTAATACACGTTGTCAATCCTGTCAACACATTGTCAATACTGTGCATAGAAAGGACAATTTTGTATCATTGTATACGAATGAGATGAATACAATAGCGCGCAGTCTAATTGACGTCAGAGATCGAGGTAAAAGGTTAAAATTGCAATCTCCGGGAAAACCCACCAGCTAGTACTACTAGTATCAATTCAGGGCGCGGCACTTATTTGCATAGAAGGCACCATATACACGTCGTGTACGTTTACCTATTGGTATAGGAGGACTGATGTTATTGTGACGTACACGTATTCCGTAATAATCAGTACAGATATATAGTTAGACCTGCAGATATTGATTGTAGCAGATCTACATATACTTTTCAGGTATAAAACAGACTCTTCATATAAAAGTGGACCGCGTTCGAAACATTTATGCAGGATTTTGTGCAGGCTGAATTGCTTTCTCTTATTTGTCACCCATTCGCGCATCACATCCATGGCCGAGAAACAGGAAGAAGTGGACGTTCCGGTCTCTTCACAAGGCTTAACATGTCCACTGTGTCTTGGTATCTTCGACGATGCAACCCTCTTGACCTGCGGACATACCTTCTGTCGACCCTGTCTCAGGAAATACGACCTATCCCGCCAGGATCTTGATCACATGGTCTGCCCTCTCTGCAGGACGGTGACGAAGTTGTCCGCAAACCGGGTCGACGATCTCCTCCCCAATGTGACGGTCAACGGACTAGTGGACGACCACCGTGCCAGGTCTGGAGGGGCTAGTGCCATCCTGGAGATGCGGCAAAAGTGCACTGTCTGCAACCTTCAGGTAGAGGTCATCGCTTTCTGCAGTACATGTGATGCATACATGTGTGATCAATGCCGCGTTGGCCACAAACAACTGAAGCTCTTCTTCGAAGGACATGAGATCGTATCTATCCAGGATATCGTTGAGGGAAATTTCAAACCTGGTAGTCGCTCCGAGAAATGTTCCGCCCACAGACAAGAGAACAAAGATATGTTCTGTCAGGATTGTAAGATACGCGTCTGTTTCAAGTGCGTCATCATTGATCATCGAGATCACAAGATACAATCACATCAGGACTTCGAAAAGGAAATGCAGGTTAAGGTACGTAGTCCAATGGAAGGTCATTCATGAACGGTCTTAAATATCTTGTTCACTCGAATATTTATTATTGTTAACATACATCCCAAATGTACACCGTTGCCAAATGAATTTATAATAATTTTGTCTTACCTATTATAGTGACAAAACGATAAATGAACATAACATCTCCTCAGAATTGTATTGATCATAGAGATTGATCTATAAAGGTTTCGGGTAATATAAACTTTATCATAAATAAATCATATTATCTCAATAATTGCATGAAAAGGATTAGAAGAAAACAATTCCACCTGATATGAGTAACGGTGTATGCTGTTTAAAACCATGCTCCATAATGGTTTATGGTCACGAATCAGAAAATTCAGTGACAAAACCCTCACTGGTAAATGCTACAACATTCTCTGACAACTAAAATAACATAACAGTCATCAGCCAATGCGTCTCCGCCCCCACCACACCTCGGCAAAGCGACAATATACCCCAGTGTACAAAGAAGACGAAAGACTTGTTGCGTGGCTGTTCGTCAACGAAACGGAATCTTTTGTCAACTCTGTTTGTCGCTACAGCAGGCAGCCAGTGAAAACAAATTCGTTCAATCAAATTATAGAAATGCAAGCATTTTTTCCCTCTTATCCTCAGGCGAGGTTTTTATTTCCATAATAGTAATACATATTTACGTTAATAACTCAATGATTGAGTGAAACATAACAGGCTAAAAATTAAAGTATATTCAACAATTCTTCCAGCTTAGTATTATTTTCTTTGCTAACACATTCATATCTTAAAAATAATAGCAACGACTTGAATTTAAAAAAAAGTATATGGGTAGTAAACAGAACCATTAACAATCTTCTTAACGTAACATTAATAAATTACATATTGCGCATAATTTAAAATAATATTCAGAAGTGAATATTTCTGTTTCCAATATCCTTACCTACAGCTATAATCTTCTGGTCTATTTGTATTTCTTTTTGGAATAGATTATATATCAAATTATTACATATTATTTTCCAAAACAAAGTCACATCCTTGCAATATAACATAAAATGAAAAGTTGAGTCAACTTGTCCACAAGAGTTGCATAAATTATTATTAACAATTTGCCATTTATATAAGTTTTCTTTTGAGGCAATAAACCTGTGAATCATCTTGAAATTAAATTGTTTAACTTTATTATTACGAATTTGCTTAAATTTAAATAAAAATACATCCTTCTATTAAACAAAGTCATTATCCAAATCTAAAAAGGAATTCCAAAAGTAAATGATATTTGGTTCTTTTGATTTTTTACGTATTAACAAACGATAGTAATCTTTCACTTTCTTAACAAAAACATTCACTTTATCCACCGTTTCTATTTCTATAATATTCGAAATATCACATTCTTTTTAAAATTCATAGTTTAATCTATCCATCCAACACTGTGGAAATGCTTTCTTTAATTGTGTATATTTAAAATCAAATAAGAGCTTTTGTGCTTTCACTTTTGTATTTGGTATTGTAGAGTCATTCCAAATACCATTTGTAATCAAATTATGAATTTTCAATAAACCGGCCTCTTTCCATTCTCGATAAAACAATATTTTTTTTCTTAAAAATAATGTTACTATTTTTCCAAATAATTTCATTTGGAATATTTCTTACTTTAAATATATCAATGAATTTTAGTTCTGACTAAGTACAACAAAGATCTACATAGAACTCTGGCAAATTATGTTTAGAGCATAATAAATTCATATCCTTTATGTTAGAATTGAAATGTAAACGAAGTGGCAAACCCCCTATTTTGTCGGACCAGTATCTAAACATATTTTTTCCATTAAAAAAACGAGTTGTCCGTGCCAAACGAAGTGAAGATATTTTACTAGCAATATCAATCATATTCAATCCACCATTTTCAATATCACTTATAATTACATTACGTTTAATTTTGTCTTTTTTGGAGTTCCATAAGAAACAAAATATTCTGCCCTAAAAAGTAAGATCTCTCATTTTCCACATATTTAATACATTTCGAATTTTATCTATTTTTACATTCCAGTTTAAATCTGGTAACAATTTCTTATTTTCGGCTACATATACTCCTAGATATTTTACAGGTTGATCAGTATATATGATGGCATTATCATGAAAAATAATTATCTACAGTATTCAGTTTCATAACTTCTGTCTTATTCGAATTTATTTTCGGACCTGCATAGTCTCCAAAATCGTTTATTTCATTCATAATATATTGTATATCATTAACAGATTCCACAAATAATGTTGTGTTATCTGCATATTGGGACATTTTTAAACTATCAATAACTAAATCAACACTGAATGTATATATCTATCCCTTTAATGTTTTTATTTTGTCTTATTTTGCATGCTAATATTTCCACTACTATGTTAAAATAAAAAGTAATGCCGATAATGAGCAACCGTGGCGAACTCCTCTTTCAATAAAGCAACTTTTTTGAAATCCATCCATTATTCATCACACGACCGATGGCAACAGTATAAAAGGTCTTTATTCAGGATATAAAAGATTCTTCAAAATTGAATTTAGGTAGTAAATAAAATACACCCACAACAAAAAGTGAGTCACCCTTACTCAAATTGATGAGTCACTGGTTTGTCCGTACAGTGAAACACTTGAAGGATCGTGTGAGTCACTATGACTCGATACAAGACTCATTTGTATCGAGTCATAGTGACTCACACGATCCTTCAAGTGTTTCGCTGTACGGACAAACCAGTGACTCATCAATTTGAGTAAGGGTGACTCACTTTTTGTTGTGGGTGCATCATGACATAGACCCCCCTACTCCCTAGGCCTATCACACACATACCATACCATGCCAGAGTCACTGTCCACATTTGCAATGGAAAATATATCCTAAAATATCACATTTTAGCGATGTAATCGGTGGTCCCGCTACCCGAATCTGAAAAATCTACTTTGTACGCACTAAATTAAGCCTTAACTTGAGATTTATTTGTCACCCATACTGTCACGAAACAATCTTGAATTGATTCGTTTTACATCAAATAACAAGGATCTAGGAGTTTCGTTGTATAAAACAATGATGCAAGATCATGCATGTTTTCATTCGACACGGCTTCGTGCGATACAGTAGAATCTATACACTATGAACATGACTGACAATGAGAGCGATTCTCCGTAATCAGCTAAAATGTCAATTTAGGTGAAAAAAATAGATTTTGTTTTTTTGCATTTTCTGAAAGAGTGGTCTTTTTTGTACCTAGTATCAAAATTTGGAAGTCTAAAACATAGTAGAAGATGTGTTTTAAACGGTTTTTCTAGACCAGTTTTTTTCGCACAGCGTTCGGTCTCTTCCAAAATTTGATCACTTTTCCCGAGCGAAATTATCGTAGTCCGGAAATGGTCGGTCGTTGCTAACGGGTCGTGCTACGCGGGCTGTGATTGGTCCGTTATAGCAATCAGTGCGGCGCGCCATTTTTTTTGTATCCGCTTTCACATCCGAGTTCCAGATTTGCGTTCGTCTTATATTCTCCGTTAACGACTTCGAGTAGCTTGAGTTGTTGCATTTTCAAACTTGTGATACAGGATGAGAAAGAGTTGTTGCATTTTCAAACTTGTGATAAAGGATGAGAAAGAGTTGTTGCATTTTTAAACTTGTGATAAAGGATGAGAAAGAGTTGTTGCATTTTAAACTTGTGATACAGGATGAGAAAGAGTTGTTGCATTTTCAAACTTGTGATAAAGGATGAGAAAGAGTTGTTGCATTTTCAAACTTGTGATAAAGGATGAGAAAGAGTTGTTGCATTTTTAAACTTGTGATAAAGGATGAGAAAGAGTTGTTGCATTTTAAACTTGTAATACAGGATGAGAAAGAGTTGTTGCATTTTCAAACTTGTGATAAAGGATGAGAGAGAGTTGTTGCATTTTTAAACTTGTGATACAGGATGAGATAGAGTTTTGACATTCCCTAAATAATTTTGTTTTTATTTCTGTGCTTCCAAATTTATTCTCCCATAAGAGTTTTGAAATCAAGTTCTTATTGCAAACACACATTCACACTCTTGATATCATCATTTTGTTTACAGCTATCATAATTCTCCCCCTTCTTTTCCCTCTCTGTCTCTCTCTCTCATTCTTTCTATTTTTCGTTATTCTATGTTGGTGTCTTTACTGTGTGTCTCCTGCCTTTCTTTATTTTTATACCACTTTCTGGCTGGTATCTATGAATTGCTTCCATTAATTATCATCAGGATGGCTACTGGAAATGAAAGAGCAAGTCATAGTAAAAATACTTTGAACCTCCTGTGAGAAAGAAAACAGTATGGGAATTAAGTATAAAGCAAGTTCATAATGTGGTTACAAATAATTGCCCAGATGTATACAAAACAAGATAGGTGACAAGCAGTGTTATGTAAGGGGGAACAAAAATACTCCGGGTCCACCATGAATAGGCATTGTCTAGTGCAGGTGTCTCGGCACTATGTTGCAGTTCACTTAATCTGTCCAATTACAACTCTATACATTTACAACATAATAACTTTTGAAAGACTTAAGTCCACACGTTGAAACCTCAGAAACATAATGAACAGACTATGTTTGACCATCAGGCCAAGTTTCAGCCTAATCTGAAAATCTCTTCATAGTGGTTGCTATGGTCTTTTGATTCACCCTTCTATTGATTTCCCTGTGGTTTGCTTGCTCCGCATGCTTGAATAGCCCCAAACTTTAAAGCTCTTTTTCTCACAATTTAATACCAGTAACCTCCCTCACCAGCTCTTTTCATTCACTAAATTGAAAGGGTTAGGAAGCTTCAATTTGGACAAGTAATATACCATTTTAATGAGGAGAACTTCTTCTTTCATAATCAGATGAAATCAGGAAAATAATTTTTTGCGACTTTTTGTTGGTTTTGTGGTGCCGGGTCACATATACAGTTCCTCAGGTAGACAAAGGAACATCCCTTCACAGCTATTATGTAAAAAGGTGAATATGCATGTGACACCTGTTCTACACATTTTTACATAATAGCAGTGAAGGGATGTTCCTTTGTCTACCTGAGGAACTGTATATTTTGTCCGCTCTCATTGTCAGTCATGTTCATAGTGATAGTTAAGTTACACACAGCCTCATCAACTCGAGTGCGGATATCGTAAAATGAACGCATGCATCATTTGTATAATAAGCCCACGAATCCAGTCATAAAAAGCATCGTTTAAAACCATATGAATAATTATGCGTACCAATTTTTAACTAGCTGCAGTCAAAACTCTTCTGAATCCAAGATATAAGATGGCGACGTTGCGTCGTCGATCGGGAATTCAAATATGGCTCGAGAATGCGCATTTTGGATGACGTAACGAAAGCATGCGCGCGCATGCATACAGCCTCACTTTCAAGTTGACTCACTTTTTTCTTCTAAAATGCTCTTATGTCGATCTTGACTCATTTTTTACGACCATGTGAGTCAGTCGAAGCATTTTGCAAATGCGTCAGCTCATGATTGACACACCATATCAATTCCTTTCATAGCAAAAGCGCTCCTCACAATTTCTGTAAATTTGGCAGTTTAACGCTACGCGTACCGCCTTGACCGGACTGTGCGGTATCTGTGCAGTTCTGTGTGTAGAGAGGTCGGGCTGTATTCATTATTTCTTGGGGGTGCATAAATTGCTCTAATTATATACGTACGCGTGTAATGCGCAAGTTTATTGTGACGGCACTAAACCCATCCCACTCATTGTTCCCCTATTTTCATAATGGTACTGACCCAATGAAATGTAGTGCAGTGCGCTCGTACGCGCTGCGCTGCGTGTGTACATGTACTGTACTTATGCATGTTCAGTTATATGTGTATGCATAGCATTACGTACATGCATACAGGGCTAGCTGGCACAAAACACTGGGTCGGGCTTCTAAAATGGGACATGAAGCATGATTTGACATGAAAATTGACGGAGCTAAAAATGAATCAATCAAAAATAAATTTATATGTATGAAAAGCTTACGTATCATATGTCATTGTCTGTGATTGAGGATTTACAAATTTGACGCAAAACGCGTTGCTGCAAAGTTAAAGATTGGTTTATTGAAAGGCAATCGAGCACAGTGCGACCGATCCATTGACATTGTGAATGAGAGAGTGATTTTTTTAAATGGATTGTAAAGTTCAACGTCAAAGTGACGGAGGTTTTTTTCAAGTAAGGGCATGGTTTTACATGGAATGTAAAGGAAATGTTTCCTTCTTCTCATATCTCGATTGAGGATATTATTCTCAATTTCGATTTTTAATGGTAAAGAAAAGTGTAAAAAGATGTCGAGAATTTTACCATATGTCATGTAATATAAAATGCGCGCGGGTCGGTTGATCTCCCAAAAGGAGCGCGAAGGAATTGATATGTGGTGAAATATAAATGAGTCAATAGAGATTCATTGGTTGTTACTAATGAGTCAATTTACACCTGACTCACGAAAATTATGCTTAAATGTGTCAAATGACTCACTTTTTGTTGTGGGTGTAGGACAAAATAGGATACATTGTCGAATGCTTTTTAAAAATCCAATTGAATGTCTTTAATTAGTCGATTACATTTTTGTACTAAATGTATGTTTTCTGCTGCGGATCTTTTCTTTATAAAACCTCTTTGATCAGTTTAAATGATACTTGATAAAACGCGTTGAAGTCTTTTAGACAGTACTGAAATTCAGATACCGTCCGCCAAATTAAATTTTTTGTTCCCTCTCTTCAAAATCACTCATGTGTGAAAAATGCATCATATGATTTGCATCAAATGAAGCTTTACAAATATGTGTCATTTATTCATTATAATTGAGATTGAGTTATGATAAAACATCGATAATTCCCTGTTTCGTTTTTTCCGGGACGCACTGTACAAGCATTGTGTTGTAAGATACAGCAAAGTGGAGCGTATTACACTTTACGTCATCATAAAAAACTACCGCGGTTTTACCACGTCATATCTGAACGAGCCTTCACAGTGGTGATTAAAGAATGCGATAGTAATTCCACATTCAAGTGAGAATTATTCTTTTTGCTTCCCTTTTACTTTCGTTCTTCAGGTGAGGGATCTTCTCCATCGATGTAAAGCAAAGAAATCAGAACTGAAGAAGAACATTCAGACTTTGGAGACGCATCGTCATGAAGCACACACTGCTCTTCAGCTACTACGTAAAGATGTCGGTCAAGCCTGTCGTACCAAGGTCAAGCTACTAGAAGACAACAGAGGTGCACTCGTTGAGAAGATCGAAGCTCTAGAACGTAGTTTTGATGAAGCCCTCAACGGTGTCAAATCGAAGGACAAACAGATGATCAAGAGCATTTGTAGTTTGGAAGATCTGGTGGCTAATGACAGACTAGGATGTCTTGAGGCGGACAGTCTGGTTGTTCACACATTTCTTTGCGAAGAGATCGACGGCTTGCTAAAGGAGATTATTGATCAAACCTCTGCAGCATCCATAGAAGAGAAGGCACGGAAGCAGAGGTTCAAGCCTGCAGATGACACCAGCCTTGACCTCGGGAATATCTCAGAAACAGAGACTGAGGCTGCACTGGATGACATGGTGAAGGGGGCTTCTAATGACACTTCTGCAGCAACCAAAGTGGAGGAAGCCGAGAAGAAGAGGTTTGGCAGAGGTTGTCAGCGGATGCCAAGCTATGATGACTACACGATTGGATTAATCGTTTGGTCCAAAGATCGACCGAAACTCCGTATTATTAAGTGTGCATTTTTAGTTGGCGAAGTTATAGCGATGACAAAATACACCAACAACTCAGTGGCAATCGCATATCGTGGTGGTTATGTCACTGATATCGTTAGTTTAAATGAAGAAGTACCGTTAAACATTCCAAAAGGTATGAGATGTTATGATCTTGTGTTCCAAAGTGACATGACTCTATGGGTATCTGCAGGTTATAAACAGGTACAGAGGTATTATTCCAATGGCATTCCTAAATATACCAAAGTGAAAAGTAATGGAAGTCTTTTAAGGCTGAGTAGGAGTCAATCAGATGAAATTCTAATAACCCAATATTCAAATCATGTCTCCATCTACGACCCCTCGGGAACCACACTCAAACACGATGTGCGAACAAGACACATAATCACTGAGCATGCATTTGCGACCAAGTCGGGTTTAATCGTCACAAGTTCTTGTTACGGCAACGAATTTGAGAATCCAAGGATGGTGACGGTCTATGACAGGGATGGGAATGCCGGGAGGCATCTAGAAGCTCCACCTGGGGTCTACCTGTATCTAGCCTTAGACGAGCAGGACAGGGTGTATGTAGCGCATGTTGATCACAATACCGTGCTGATCAAACTATATGACCTTGATGGTCTGAACCTGAAAGACATTGGTCAGTTTAATTGTCTGAACTTGGCAATAAGTGATACACGTTGTCTCATGATTTCTCTCACTCCAGAACTACTTATGTTTGCTAATATCAATCAAGTCTTTTTCTTAGAAGTTAGATGGTTTGTTTCCTAAGTATCTTTCAGTACAGGACCCTTTTGGATGTTACTGTAAGTCACGCGTTGAATGTCAAGAGCGTCGAACATAATCATGCCAATAACGACTCTCTTCACGCATTTCTGAAGATAGTTATATTACGATTGATTGACCTAATATAATTGTAAAAATAAATAATAATGATAATTACAAAAAGAAATAACAATAGTTGGTTCTTATACTGCACTCAACCCCTTCAAATCTGACCCTCTTGGCGTTCTACAATTATTACCGCGGCTCGGGCTTGGCTGCCATCATGGCACTCTAGCATTTCAAATAACTAATTCCTGCCTGGTACCCATTTACCTCACCTGGGTCGAGTGAGGCATATATTGATAAAATTCTTACCAAATGCAATTAGTGACGTAGCGGGACTCGAACCTCGAGATGCACAGACTGGTAACTTATCCACTAGACCACGACACCTCGAAGTGCAATAGAGGTACAATAGTTGGCAGTCGATGATTAAACATTTACGACACTAACACGTGGAGAGTTGTGAAATATATTTGCCATAATTGAGAATCAAGATTTAAATATATGTTTTAAAAGATGTTCTGAAATACATGTGTGCCAGGAGGCATACGGATATGCCCGGAGGAACACGCATGGCATCTTTTTGTTGGGCACCTGCCCCTTTGTACCCCCGTGGATCTAGCACTTCCATTGCAAACAAGATAATATGATATTGAACATGAAATATGATTATGTAAATGTATGTGTGTAAATATATGAGGTAGAAAATGAAACAAATTCACACCAGTTGTTAGTGTTCCGGATATGAATTTTAACGTCACCGCCTTACAGTCATGCCATGATGATGTTTGAAAGTGTAAGCAAACGTATATAAATACGACCTTTGTATAGGCAGCTGAAGGATTTGTAAACATGTTCAATTATCTTACAATAAACCGAGTCTTTGATTGAAAATATATGCAAATCTGTAGATATATATATATATATTCATATATTTTCCATATGTATATATATATTTCATGTAATATAGCAGTAATATGAATGACTGTCAAATAATTTATGAGGATTCGGTACTTTTTGCTCACCATTACCAACGTTACCATACTTTAAAAACAGCTTGGTAAATTTCTTCCCAATATTGTTTACAAAAAAGAACATGTTTGTTGGGCAAGATATGTGATATAAGTACGACTTTTGTATAGGCAGCTAAAGGATTTGTATACGTGTACAAAATATTGTACAATTAGCCTAGTGTTTGCTTCAAATTATATGCATATCTGTATAAATATCTATCTATCTCATATATATATGTATATATATATATATATGTATAATTGTGTTAACTTATTGTGGGCGTTCCCAACTCAAGCTATGCTTTTGGGGTTTTCGTCTCCTTCTGTTATCTGAATTATTTACTGTATACTCTATGTTGAAATCATTGTTACATAAATAATTGATATATACATTGTGTTTCATATTGTAGTGTTAAGAAGGAAATAATAATTATAAATTTATTATATTTACATACATTTCCCATTTGTATATATATTTCAGGTAATATTTTAAGTAAATTAGGAATGACTGCCAAATAATGCCATGTGAGCTGTATTCAAGATTGTATCGTTTTACGAACACATCATATTTTCTCACTTCAGTTTTAAGCCCCTAAATTGATATGTGTTTAATTTCTATATAAGTGCCCTTCTAATTTGTACGAAGTTTTTATTTTATTTACAACGCTAAAATTACAAAAGTTATGTATATGCATTCAGCCTATTCGTGGTTGTTGTTTTTCTGATTAAAATCATATATGAGGATTCGGTACTTTATGCTCAACCATTACCAACGTTACCATACTTTTAAAACAGCTGGGTAAATTTCTTCCCAATATTGTTTACAAAATGGAACATGTTTGCTTGGTAAAAAATGTACTGGGTAGTATTTCACACATAAACATGCTTGGTCCCTTGTTCACATACTTCCCCCAACTGTATGGAGTGCATTAATATTTATTTTTGCAAGTCATGGAGGGTGATCAACAGACATGACCTTTTAAGATTATACTTTGTTCAGATATGCGGTGTTTTTAAAATCATGTTTATGGTGACTTTGTCTGTATAAAGACGCTTCACATTCTTTTCAGTACCTGTCAACACGGAGCTCAGTGGATACGTATAGGACTTTGTTGCGTAGTTGCCATTTATTTATTTTTTGTATTTTTTTCGGAAGAGGTTTACCGCGTCATATTGAAATGCCTTAAGCCTAACCCACACACGCAACACACATGTGTCAAATAAGAAAGTTTCATCAGAATAAAACTGAAGAGAATGTGAAGACCTTTTGTTCAGCTAATTCATTACAAAAACATAAGTCGTTGTATTTGTGACACACTGTTGTATTAAGCACGGTTTTACTAATAAAAGCAAGACTTTTACATATTCCAATTTTGATTGTGTTTCATATGTTTCCATATTTCAAAGTTGACGGGAGGCACCATCACCAGTTCGTACAAGTATATTTAAATGTGTAAACATGCGATGATATCACAGTCACTTTGTGAATCCGCCTGTAATATTGATAGTCAGATAGCTGTGAAACGTTGGTCACGTGGTGGAGAGTTGACCAATCGGCGTAACGCTGATTACTATCCGAGGCAGATTTCAGTGTAACCGCCACCAGGAACGTGTTTTGTATGGGTGGAACAAGGAAGAAAAAAAACAAAAACACAAACAAAACATAATGCATGTAAATATATGAATGTTTCAGTGTGTGCTTATTAATTTTTTAAAAAAATAGATTTCAAGATCAAAATCAGTTTAAGCTTCAAGTTGATCCGTGAGGGCTGTTTCATGAAGAAAAGAAATCCATTTGAGGCAAGCTTATATTTAATCTATGTGAAAAGCTTATACAAGAGACGCTCTTGGAAATCTGCGGAATTTATCATAAACCGTTTTGTTTATATACACACTGAAACCTATATTCCATGCCTACCCCTTATCACACTTGTGAATTGGAAAATCGAACTTAAAGCCCCTCCAAAATGTTGGGAGCCCCACAAATTTGATGGAAAGATTTCATTTCAATGTTATCATAATGTGAAAGAGGATGTCACTTCAACTACATTTCTGCAAGAATTTTCAAAACAAATGTGTTTGAAGTAGGATATTGATGAAAGAATACAAATTTAGGTTTTTAACGTACAACAGAAAATCCAAATTACATATTTTTAAAATCAATATTTGTCTTCAAAAACACCTTTCTTTTGATGAAATCTTTTCAGAAGTGAGTCTTCAATAACATTCTCTTACACATTATTATATAACTTGAGGATATTTTGCCATCAAGTTTTCGGCCAATTTGGGGCTTCCAACACTTTAGTGGGGCTTCAATAGACCTGTTTAATAATGTTCACTTGATACACGTTTATTCCCCGAATTTGATAAGCATGTTTTACAAAAGGCCATTGCTTGCCATCACCTAACACATATTAGTTGTTGCTACGTCGGGCAATATTATTGCAAGCTTTTCAGTCATCAAGAGAATTTTTTGTTAAAAAGGTATGCGTAAAATAAGTAAACTGGTCTATTATTTTGTGTCGTTATTTGGGCTTAAGAAATAGATTTTGAGTATGTAGGTGTGTGCGTATAGGTGTGCGTACGTGAGGTTGAGTATGTGTATCACAAAACGTCTCGCAGCTCCTGTATCCTGTATGATTAGAGCCCCCCCCCCCCGTGTTTTTTCTGGATGTATTCCCTTTAGCTTTACCCCCTTCCACACACACAAACACTCTCTCTCTCTCTATCTCTCTCTATTCATTCTTCTCTTTATCTTGTCTTACCCCATCAGCACCACGTGGTGGGTTTTCAGAGAATCAGCATTCCTTTCTGAAATAATCAGCAATTTCCGAATTAACCATGATATCATGGAAAAAAATAAAGATTAAATAAAAGAAACAGCGATTTAAAGTTAATGGGGGGGGGGGTGATAATGTTATAGTTAAAAATCAATAATTTGCATTTTACACCGTCCCACTCCCCCCCCCCCCCACGTCTCTCTCTCTCTCTCTTTCTCTCTCTCCTTTCTTTCTCTCTCTCTCTCCCTCCCTTCCTCTCCAGCTCTCTCTTTCCCTTCCATTCTCTCTCTCTCTATATACATACATATTTCTCTCCCCTCTCTCTCTTCTCTCTACCCCTCTCTCGATCTATATCTCGGACTCCCCCATTCCCTACAATAAGACTATCGAAATACAATTATTCGTATCGAATTTTTTTACAAAGACGTATGCTTTAGATTTGGTTGCATTACAAAAGTGGTCTTTTGACCGACGGATTGACAAGTTTCCAACCCTCTTTAGTTATTTCTTTAGTCGGGGGCAGATGAGTTTTGTATAGTGACATTCAGCATGCTTCAGCTGAATCCAACGAATGCTTTGAGATACTTGTATAAGTTAGAATAATTATAACCAAATGTAAGGAATTTCCTCGAGAGTTGTATAGTTTATTTCCTTACATTTGTGTAGTACCACAATGATCCGTCATATAAAATATTAAAAGAAAGATACGTATTAGATGTTAAATTGACACTTAAATGAAACGAACATACAATGAAAAAGAACACCCTTTTCTTTTGCTGAATGTACTTTATTGAGTTATCTCGATATTCATATAAATTTTCGGGGCGTCATATATATGTAAAACATTGCATCGTACATGCATATTTGAAGCATATGTATGGAAATAAAAAACGTGATATAAATCACTGGATCGTTCGAAATTACTCAAAACTCTCGTACTCCCGAAATATTTTACTTTTTGACATCTAGTATGTTATATTTTCTCTTTTATCAAAACATTAATGGACTTCGAGCTTTACCAGAAAATCGCAATGATGACAATTATAATGAGAATGCATATACAAATAAAATAATAATAATGATTATTATGATGATAACGATAAGAATACAAGTTATTATAGTGATAAAAATGATAATTGTAATGAGAAAAATTATAATGTAAATGAAAGTATAACTTTTATTCGTTTACTCACTTATTAACATAGACATGACTTTTAAAACCCAATATGGTATTATGATTAAAGTAATCATATAATAAAATGTGAATACCCAACACCATGTACACATATGTAAATTATTGTCACAGGTTTAAGCCTATAAGAAGGGAAATATAAATTTCGTTAAGTTAATCACTCCTGAAACTTAGAAATAAAACAAACAAAAAACTAAATGCAGAAAGACAGTTTGATCAGGTATCTGGCTGAAACTGTGAAAACAAAGAAAACAATTTTTGACTAATGAGGGTAAGCAAATTATGAATTCACAGTTTGATTGTCTGTGTATACATATATAAGTCATATATTTCCAGGCATTCTAAATAGTTCTCTATTTCCTACACCTATATAATTACATTTTGATACATAAAACTGTTATTGCTTAGGGGTAATCATAAAGTCATGAACTCTAGGCTTCTATCAACCTAAACTTTAGTGGCATATGCTGATTCCATCCACTCCGATATACTTTCTCAAGCAAAGTGATTCACAGTTTTTAGGGGGTGCTGTCTGCTGCCTGAAATATACATAATATGATCGAACCCTTAATTTAGCCAATGCACACAGAAACTACTTCGAAATATCAAAGTATAAAAGCCTTGTTCAGATCGATATGACACGACAAAACCATAGCGGTTTTTTTACGATGACGTAAAGTGAGACACGTTTCTTATTGCTGTGTCTTATAACACAGAGATCAGTTGCCATTCATGTACACATATGATAACCGTAGCAGGATTTTTGTGGCGCTATACCGCGTTATTTACTGAACGAGCCTTTATACTTTGTTATGAATTACACTTTGAAAATACATTTTTTTTTTCTGAATAAGAATCAGTACTTGGAACGTGACTTAAATCACTCTCTATCTCTCGGTAAGCTAGTAACATTGATGAATGTCATCTTCGGAAGATGGTCACATGATGGAGAACAGACCAATCAGCGTGAAGCTGATTAATAACCGAGGCAGATTTCAGTGTAATCCTGACCGGCGATATGACCTGTTGGCGCAGAACAGGCAAGAAACAAAATAGTTCCGGGTTACATAATTGCGAACTGGGCGGGACTTGTGGAATAATACCTTCCAGCTCTCTCTCTCTCTCTCTCTCTCTCTTTCCTGAAATCCACTATTTTACTTATTTCTTACACTCTCTTTATCTCTCTCTCTCTCTCTCTCTCTCTCTCTCGTTCACTCATTCCCTCAGTCTTTCTCATCTCCATGTATCATTTTTCAAGTGGCAGTAAAGTTTCCTGCTCCCTCCCGTGACGCTGAATTGCTGACTATGGTGAGCAATCGATGCCTTTCATTATTCAAGGTATTTCAAAAGCTAAATATTGATCGCTGGTCATTAAGGCATTTTTTTGTTGGTGGGGGTGAATATAATTTACAAAAAGGCACCAAGTCTGAACGATTCAAAGTTAATGAAATAAAATCAGACTAGAAGACACAACATTATGATGGGTGTGCATTATCAAACAATTAAATAACGACGAAACTTCTTTGGAAACCTACTAAAGACGGAATAAGCCGGCGTCGTTTCATCGTCATAGTTCTAATGGGATGTCGGACAACATCTGCACACCACTTGAAATAATTTAGATTTTAAAAATATATATATCGATAACAGAGAACATTATTGGATTTTTAGACAGAGATCTTGGACTAAAGCATAGTAAACTATTCAAAATTTAAACTTGGGATATTTTTTTTGATCAGCGAGGGAAAGAGGGAGATAGAAAGAGAGAGAGAGAGAGAGAGAGAGAGAGAGAGACGGAAGGGAGGGGGTAGAGAGAGGGGGAGACAGACAGAGAGAGGGGGGAGTATTTAAAGCATTGCTTTCATGACGCTATAACTACTCACCGTGGCGCTCAGGAATTGCCTCGCAGATTTCATTATAGCGCCCTCTGTCCCTGAGACGCTGGAAGGCGTCATTCCACCAATTCACCAGGTCACGGTTGGTGTGTCGTGTCATGATCGAGGCACCGCCAGCCAGACAGTTGTTATCGAAGTTTGGCGGTGAAATGAGTTTCAGCGAGCTCGTGAACTGACTCAAAAATTCACCGAATGCCACGTCAATCTTTGAAAAAGATAGGGAGGAAGGATAATTTTTAAAAGTATTCATAACATTGCTCAGTAGAACAAAAACGACGTTTTGAAAGGGAGAGGGATTTTACTTCGCATAAGATTAAAATGGATTTTCTACATGCAAGCCAAGGCCTACCAGGCCTCATCGTGCAGTTCTTTTTCATTGGTAAGTTTTCGAAAAGAGGAAAAGAAGAAAAGGGAGATGAAGGGAGAGAAAGGGAAGACGTAGAGGTAGAGGGATAATATGAGAACAAAAAGAAGAAAAATAAAAAGAAAGACCTGAGTACAAGAAGGAGAAGAAGGAGTAGGAGGATATCTGATATGTTACAATGATGGGGATGAAAGTGATGAACATGACGCCGTCGACAATGAGGACGATGATAATGGCAATGATTATAATCACCGAAACGTCACGAGTTACATGTCAAACTATGCAGTATACGCTATGGCTTTGAAAATTAAAAAAGTTTAACTTGTATCATGTATAACTTTAAAGTAATAGGCTGCATTATGTAGTACTTTAGATTTATCATAATTCTTATTCGAACAAGTAGGTTTTCGATTGTTTATCATGCATAATTTCTCGTATTATTGAAAACGAATAATATGATGTAAAATGGCTGTGTACATGTTATTCCCTTTTAAGGTGACTGTCCCCATGGTCTGAGTCTGAGCTGCTGGTCACTCTAGTTAAAACACCAAATAAATACATTTTTAGAAAAGGAAATAATCACCTGTTCATTCAGGATTGCGTTGATCAAGAGCTCAGCTGATTGGTAGTGGAATATCTGGTTGGCACTGAGCGTAGAACCCTGTATGGGGGATGAAAGAACAGTAGAGAGGCATACAAACAGGAGGACAGACAGAGGGGGAGCAGAAAAAGAGGAGGTGGAATCGAGAGAAGGGAACGAGGAGGGGGAAATAGAGTAAAGAAGACGAGGAAGGGGGAAAGAGATAAGGAAACGAAGAAGGGAAATAGAGTAAGGAAGACGAGGAAGGGGGAAAGGGATAAAGGAAACGAAGAAGGGAAATAGAGTAAGGAAGACGAGGAAGGGGGAAAGAGATAAGGAAACGAAGAAGGGAAATAGAGTAAGGAAGACAAGGAAGGGGGAAAGAGATAAGGAAACGAAGAAGGGAAATAGAGTAAAGAAGACGAGGAAGGGGGGAAGAGATAAGGAAACGAAGAAGGGAAATAGAGTAAGGAAGACGAGGAAGGGGGAAAGAGATAAGGAAACGAAAAAGGGAAATAGAGTAAGGCAGACGAGGAAGGGGGAAAGAGATAAGGAAACGAAGAAGGGAAATAGAGTAAAGAAGACGAGGAAGGGGGAAAGAGATAAGGAAACGAAGAAGGGAAATAGAGTAAGGAAGACGAGGAAGGGGGAAAGAGATAAGGAAACAAAGAAGGGAAAAAGAGTAAGGAAGACGGGGAAGGGGGGAAAGAGATAAGGAAGCGAAGAAGGAAAATAGAGTAAGGAAGACGAGGAAGGGGGAAAGAGATAAGGAAACGAAGAAGGGAAATAGAGTAAAGAAGACGAGGAAGGGGGAAAAGATAAGGAAACGAAGAAGGGAAATAGAGTAAAGAAGACGAGGAAGGGGGAAAGAGATAAGGAAACGAAGAAGGGAAATAGAGTAAGGAAGACGAGGAAGGGGGAAAGAGATAAGATGTACTCGTAAACTCTTCACTCGACCCGAACCAAGTAAGTTTTGAGATTGATTTAAAACAAATATTGAAAATCATGAGGATAATGGGAAAAGGCAGCATAAAACAGGCTTTAACAAGATTTGATTTGACGTGGTCAACAAAAGATCTTCTCTTGAAAAGCTTGCCATGATATAGTGCTTTTAAGTCCTAGAAGGACAAAACAGTTACCACCAGTTGAAATTTCCAACTGGTTCCAGTTCAAGTTAACTGGAACCAGTTAGATTCAACTGGAACCAGATAAATTCAACTGGTTCCAGTTGACTCTAACTGGTCCATGATGCACATCAAGCGGATATATGGTGCGACTGCATTTCATTTAACTGGAACCAGTCCTTAATGACCAGTTACACCAGTTGATAACTGCAGGTTTGTTTGCAAACTTCCAGTTGCACCAGTTGATAACTGGTCTGTGCATGGCATATCTCAGTTGCGCCAGTTAATAACTGGCCGTCTGTGTGCCCCGCTGTGGGCATATTTCCAGTTGCGCCAGTTGATAACAGGTCTGTGGGCATATTTCCAGTTGCAACAGTTGATAACTGGCCGTCTGTGTGCCCCGCTGTGGGCATATTTCCAGTTGCACCAGTTGATAACTGGCCGTCTGTGTGCCCCGCTGTGGGCATATTTTCAGTTGCACCAGTTGATAACTGGCCGTCTTTGTGCCCAGCTGTGGGCATATTTTCAGTTGCACCAGTTGACTGGTCCGTGGGCATATTTCCAGTTGGCCAGTTGATAACTGGTCTGTGAATTTCAACTTGACCAGTTAGAATTTGACCAGTTGAATTCCAACTGGACCAGTTAGAATGTGACCAGTTGAATTTCAACTGGACCAGTCAGAATTTGACCAGTTGAACTCCAACTGGACCAGTTAGAACTTCAACTGGTCAAATTCTAACAGGTCCTTGGGCAAATTTCCAGTTGACACCAGCTAATTTGCAAAATGGATATGGGGTGCGTGTACATCTATGTTTCAAAACAATTTATCTGAATTTACAGCACATTTCAATATGCAGGGTTATCAGTTGGCTTCAACTGGTTCAACTGGATTTTTCTTCTGGGGTGAAAAGAAAATATCAGTAAATTTGATGACGAATAACCTTTCTTTACAACAATAAATTATAATGTTGTGCTCTACAGAACATCATAACTCTATGTATTTTACATCAGCATTTAATACATTGACATTTATTTGGTCATTTTATTTACCGCGATGTTTGTGTAGCGGGCGAGGCAAAATTCGTCCGCATTCCAGCCATCCAGAAATCCAACTTTCAGATTGGTCAAATTGTTATACGTCACTGTGCTGTCATTCTTGGCGTAGAGGGCGACAGAGCCTCCTTTGTTGTATGGCACTGTGAAATAATACGTCAGCAGGCGATCGAAAGTTTGGACCCAACCTGAAACAAAATATGTAGGATGCTAAAATAAGTTGAGAAAATAAATCATTTTTGTTTTACATGACGATTAAGATAATAACGTCAGAAGAGTAGGTTTTGATTGAAATCATAAATTCAAAAATTTCATTTCCAATTTATTTAAAGCTACGCATTTTCAGATGTAGTCTCATTTTCCACTCAAGAATATTTTTTGATAATTAAAATTTGCTATTTTTCCCCCCGAAAGGCAAGAAACTACAGGATACAGTGAAATAAAGATTAAACAAGTAATTTGTTGTTGATAGGTGATGTCACAAGACGAATGAGATCAGGAGCAATTTTTTCAGGGTGGAGCTTAGCAGGTCTGAAACAATTATTTAAAAACATATCTAAAAATCTATGAAATATATTTAGATGTTTGAATAACATAATATGAGTTGTATGCAGCCCTGCACATCAACAGGAATCAACTTATATTTAGCTCTCACCCGACCTTTAATGAGAGTTTAAATATAAGAGAAAGACACATGTATCATGGTAGCATTCATAATTATAATATTATTGGATATTTATATAGCGCACATATAGATCAAGACGCACCAACATTGCCCCGGTTCTGCTAGGCAGCCGATTTCGGCGCTCACAGCATTTAAGGAATTCCTTCCTACCGGTACCCATTTGATACATGGGTGGGGAGTGGCACATTGTAGGTGAATATCTTGTCAAATGGCATTAGTGCCGTGGCGGGGGTCGAAACGCGGACTCTGTGATTCACTGTCCGACGACTTATCCACTAGAACACAACATCTCTAGGTTTATTATCATTTTCTATGTTATTCAAGAAAATTAGTTCTAATCAATTGAAGGCAAAGATAATATATGTCCAAATATCAAAATACGGTAGATATATAAATGAATAAATGAATAGATAAATGAATAGCTTAATGAATTAATAAATAATTCAATTAATCAATAAATCAATAAATAAGAATAATAACTCACCTGTACACCCATCGTACCATCCGCCCATGAGCCCTGGGCCACCCCTGGGCCGCTCACCCGCTTGGCTGTCCCAACAATGTTCGTAGACGTCATAAACCAGTTGACAGTTCTTGTTCGCTATCGAACACACTGAAAAAAATAAAGTAATAATGGAGCATTACATGTAATTCAAAAGAACCTTAATAGTGGTGGTTATTTTACCTGACAGCTAAGACAGCTAAGAAAGCAATTGCATAAAGATGATTAAAATTGTTTATAATATGATGAAGCAGATCCTAATCAAATAATTGGTTGAGAGCGTACACGTGACCAGGCATTTATTTTGCCTAACACGTAATTTTACTAATGACCGGTCATTAGTAAAATCATGTTTTAAAACATCCTTTCATAAAACAATAAAACATCATCTTATAAAACTTTGTCTATATCCCCTCTTATTCTCCCCTTACTATATCCCCCTCACTCTGTGTTCCGTTTGTTCTCTTTCTTTCTTTAACACAATCACAACTTTTTTTCGAAAAAATCAACTTAAGATCAATCTCGATAGCCTATTGTATGCCGCAAAGATATCATGTTCGGATTGTGTTATACGTCATTGTCATTGTCGCAATGATCAATAGGCTACGCACAAAGCCATTACAATTGCCTGAGGTTGTTCTTTCTTTACATCCATCCCTCTTCTTACCTGCATCCACCATGTCTGGGCCAAATCCCTTGATTGTGTATGTCGTCTCATCCCTGTAACCATGTAAACGGTGACATGGATTAGATTAGCATGACCACTCAACTATTTAACCTATTTCTAAAAATTAGCAATATGCTCTCACATACACTCTCACACACACACACACACACACACAAACATATTGACATTATATACGCCCACAGTTACTCACGACCTCGAATACATCAGTGATCCGATGAGATCGGTTATCAACAAATCATATCGCCACTATCACTATTACAAACATCATTAATATCATTTCATCACATCGCAATCATCAGTATCAACATTTTCATCATAAATGTTTTTTATGAAAAAGCAGCACTAAGCAAAACTACCACCGCCTACTCCACTAACACCATCATCGATATCATCATCATCATCATCATTTCCATGCATGATCATCACCAGCACCAGCACCACCACCACCACCACCATCATCATCATCATTATCATCATCATCATCATCATTTCCATGCATGATCATCACCACCACCACCATCATCATCATCATTATCATAATCTCATAACCATCATTATCGCTAACATGCTCTAGCTACGTACGCCCACTCAAGGTACACTTACAAATATTCCAAGATATCATCATAGTGACCGATGGCAAAGAGCCAGACCTTGTCATCACTGCTGCCTAATTCATGAAAGAAAATGAAAACAAAATGAAATGCTTACTCAATCGACAGTAAAGTTATAAGACCGAGAAAACAAAGACCTTATGCCTTAAGCCCCTGGCACACTATACGACCCGACTCCGATCCGATTTTGGAAGAATTTGCATTAGGATTTGATACAAACATTTATACATGTAAAAGATTTATGACCTAGGATCTGACTATTCATATGATTAAGAAAATCATATCGACATCAGGTTGACACCAGATAGACATTAGACCGACACCAGACCAACATTAGACATACAGGCCTGAATTCACAAAGGAGGTTTCTCGACAAACCTAGGTTTATGTGCGTCATGTGACGCGTTTTGACGCGTTTTGACAAACCTAGGTCTGTAAAAACGCGTCAAAACGCGTCATAATGACGCACATAAACCTAGGTTCGTCGACAAATTGAATTCGGGCCACACAGTCCAAAATCAGACCAACAAAAATGTATTATTTAGGCTATAAGGAGTCACAGACGGCATGCAGTCTAAAATGGAGTCGGTTAGGCAGTGTGACTGAGGTGCAGAACCCCATTCCCACAAAGGGACCGACACGAGACTGAAACCTGATCGAACAAAAAGATACATGAGACTGAAAGGCCAAGAATCAGTCGGTTTGGGAGTCGGTTTTGCGGTGTGGCTGGGGTGTAAGACCCCATTCCCACCAAAGGAACCGACACGGAACTGATACCAGATCGAACAAAAAGATACATGAGACTGAAAGGCCAAGAATCAGTCGGTTTGGGAGTCGGTTTTGCGGTGTGGCTGGGGTGTAAGACCCCATTCCCACCAAAGGAACCGACACGGGATTGATACCAGATCGAACAAAAAGATACATGAGACTGAAAGGCCAAGAATCAGTCAGTTTGGGAGTCGGTTTTGTGGTGTGACTGAGATGTAAGACCCCATTCCAACCAAAGGAACCGACACGGGATTGATACCAGATCGAACAAAAAGATACATGAGACTGAAAGACCAAGAATCAGTCAGTTTGGGAGTCGGTTTTGTGGTGTGACTGAGATGTAAGACCCCATTTCCACCAAAGGAACCGACACGGGATTGATACCAGATCGAACAAAAAGATACATGAGACTGAAAGACCAAGAATCAGTCAGTTTGGGAGTCGGTTTTGTGGTGTGACTGAGATGTAAGACCCCATTTTCACCAAAGGAACCGACACGAGACTGATACCAGATGGAACAAAAAGATACATGAGACTGAAAGACCAAGAATCAGTCAGTTTGGGAGTCGGTTTTGCGGTGTTACTGGGGTGTAAGACCCCATTCCCACCAAAGGAACCGATACGGGATTGATACCAGATCGAACATAAAGATACATAGGACTGAAAGGCCAAGAATCAGTCGGTTTGGGAGTCGGTTTTGCGGTGTGGCTGGGGTGTAAGACCCCCTTCCCACCAAAGGAACCGACACGAGACTGATACCAGATGGAACAAAAAGATACATGAGACTGAAAGGCCAAGAATCAGTCGGTTTGGGAGTCGGTTTTGCGGTGTGGCTGGGGTGTAAGACCCCATTCCCACCAAAGGAACCGACACGGGATTGATACCAGATCGAACAAAAAGATACATGAGACTGAAAGGCCAAGAATCAGTCGGTTTGGGAGTCGGTTTTGCGGTGTGGCTGGGGTATAAGACCCCATTTCCACCAAAGGGAACGACACCAGTCTGACACCAGATCGAACAAAAAGATACATGAGACTAAAAGGCCAAGAATCAGTCGGTTTGGGAGTCGGTTCTGCGGTGTGGCTGGGGTAAAACTTCTAGGTCTATTGTCTATTTTCCAGACTGGTTCTTTTGAACCATAAACAAGTGAATTGCCTTTAACGTTGTATAGAGCCAGTTTCATTATTCCATTCCCTTTATAAAGATGAATTGGAAAGCATTAGAGTGTACAAATGTAGGGGCGTGTACTTCACCGCTGAATCACTTTGAACTTTATCACAAATAACTACAATAAAATAATTTTAACCCACATACAACATAATGCGCAGTGTCAACAACATACATAGAGGCCTGGTAGTGACGTACATGTATATCAAATACTTCACCAAATCTGCCTTCGCAATGATGATTATATATTGATCGACACAGACTTACTTAAAGGGATCCGGTAACTTTGTCTTAGATCCTTTAAAAAAAATGTGTGTTCACTGCATGCATATACATGTACGTGCTTTTGTGTGATGTGTTAGGTGTGTTAAAATCGGATTTTAAAACACCTCTTGAAACCTCTTATCAACATGGATTTGGTAATAAAATGATGGATAATTTAAAAAAATCAAGTTGATATCAAATTCATTGAATTATGTAGCATGTAAAATATAAATTTTGAGCCGAAAATTTGTTTTGGGGGATAACTTTTCCCCTAAGTTTGGCCAGTATCTCGGACCTTGATTGGGCATCACCAAGTATTGCAGAAAGATCAAAGGATTAGGGGTGTTCATTGCAATTGATAAGCACTTCTTCTATGCTCTGTGATTTTTCAGGAAATGTGGGCATGGGCAGTCGCCCCTCCCCCCCATTCCGCCCCTTCCAGCCGCTTGTTTTATAATCGTGCCCACGACTTTCCAAGAGCCGTTCTTTTTTTTTGCCGGATCAAGGTCCTGTCGAGTTGTGGTCTAATGGCTACTTCATGTATGCATCTTATTGAGAGGGCTGGTCGCACCAAACTTTCAAAAAAAAAATTCAGTCCCAGTCCACCCCCGGAAACATCAAGTGAATTTTGTGTCAAAGACATGATGTAGAAAAATATAGAGGCATATTTGGACACCGTAGTCCTGTTGTTATCTGGTTATTTGATGTTTCAATAGAGCTGTAATAGTTTTAATTGCTTTAGGACCTAGTGGATAGCCATTTGTTTCTGTTTGATTTTACCACATTGAAATGACATCCAAAGACATAATAGATTAATTTCTATAGTCAACTTGTGATAGGAAGGCGAGGTAAAGCATTTTTATAATGTCACGCCTTTCTGCTTAGGCGAATACGAGGTAAACAAAATGGTCACGGTCCCCCTCGTAGAGAAAGAAAAAAAATAATGAAAATAATGACATTTTTAAAAAAAATCTAGGGATAAAACACTGGCCTGCGAACCCCTCCGTTTCAGAACCAAGGTGTTTAGTCCACTCCCTCTATACCCAGGTGTCAACGGGTACCTCGCAATGCTGGGTCAATCGTACTCGTTAGGACACCGGAAGAGCAGGTGGTACCGTGGGTAAATAAAACCCAATTATTGTATACATGAATAAAGATATAAATCTCCCCAATAAGCCCATTGCACACAAGGCTTCATTTTGGTTCTGCTATTCCCTGCTATTAATCAAGACTGTTAATGCAATAAACCCCATACGCCAGCTATTAAAGGAATTTTGCTTTTTTAGTGGGGGCGAGGGCAATAATTTCTGCACGGTGTCATTCTCATATGACCACATCAGTCAATGGCGGCGTGATACATCAAGAAATTAATTGACGCATCATATGTATCTTTGACACCTTTATTAAAGCGAATGTGTAATGATCAGCGCAAACGTTGCTTTGAATTTGCTTTCACATGTGTCGTTCGGGACTTTTAGATTTGCACGTCGACATAGTGGACTGCTACGTGTGACGTCCTTTTAAGGCAATGTGACGTGCACACCTTTAAGGCACTGCCAGTGCTTTAAAAGATGTCACACGTAGCAGTCAACTTTGTCGACGTGCAAATCTAAAAGTCCCTATACTGACGCAGGGATGACGCACATAATAACGCAATCAAAATGATGCCCCGTGAGCAAGACGACTGGCATAAATTCATACTTACTACTGCTCGCCAATGACGATCCACTAGATGATGACTGGCCAGACTGGGTATAGATGTTTATCGGCTGCCCAGATCCAGTCTCGCCCCCTGATTGATTCAAGCTGATTATGCCGAGAACCAAAGCGACGATGCTCACGACAGTCAAACAGCAGACCAGTATCACGGTCAAGAGGTTCCTATCCTGGGCCATAATAGTTAGATTTATGCGAACTTCAAGATCAGGGCCAAAAGAAATCCGGTTGTGTCCTAGCTAGCGAGCTGCAATCTAGGTTGCTCAACACTCAAGTGCCGAACAGGTACGCCAGTGCAGCAAGATAAATCGTTCATATTCTTGCATTAATATTATCGGCTTCATCATCTCATTTTATTGTCTTTCCAGGCCAGTAGCTCAGAATAGATTTTTTTCGGAGAAAGGTACCCGTTGGTAAACACGTTTTGCTTTGATGATTTATTATGCATTTGGTTGGGATGATATGCCAGACGTCGCGTCGTCTCTCCTATAGGTTGAGTCCGCCACCACAGCTTTATGTCATTGAGTCGTCATCTTCCACTCAACGCACAGTCAGCGGCTTTGACGCACCACAATGACATCGTACCCAACGTTTACCGATAGAAAATAGATCTGCCTTGATTTATCTAGGCATGCGATAATCACCTTCATAGGTTTTTTCAGTTTAGAATATGTTGGTCCATTAGATATTTTCTTCTTTATGGGTTTCTGTTGGTCCATTAGATTTTTTCTATAGGTTCCTGTTGGTCCATTAGAGATCTTCCTATGGGTTTCTAATGGTCCCACATTCTGAATTCCCTATTGAAACCAATATAGGCATATTGGTTTATAGTGGTTCAATATTACGTTGGCTTCTATTGGTAAATCAATAATGATAAATCAAAAATCGAATTTAGCAACTGTACACCAAAAAGGTATATTCAAGTGTCAATTGCATTAACTCCATCACAAAGATCATTTGAAGTGAGTTTAAGAATATCCTTTATTTAACTAATGGCTTGTACTATTCTATATAATAAACATACATGTAGTTTCTTGGTTAGTAATCATTATAATCAATATATCTATTGCTAGAACGTGAATGTACTTGTAACATGGTCAGACAAATCATCTATTGGTCATTAGTTGCCGAGAGAAAATAAAAATCACAAAATTGATGTGCATTGTCATCAGTTACTTAACAATAAGTAGATAAGTTTAGCTGTTGGTTTCTATTGGTTTATATAGACCTATTGGTTTCTATATTTCTTAATTATATTGGTCATATTGGTTTATATTGGTCCCATTGGGTTATATTGGTCTCATTGGTTTTCTATTGGTCCTATTGGTCCTATCTGTCATATTGGTTTCTATTGGTCCTATTGGTTTATATTGGTCTTATTGGTTTCTATCGGTCCCTTTGGGTTCTATTGGTCTCATTGGTTTTCTATTGATCCTATTGATCTTATTGGTTTCTATTGGTCCTATTGGTTTCTATTGGTCCTATCGGGAACATTTTTAGCGTTTACTAGAACGACGTCTATGGGCTTGACGAGACCGAAGGCTCACTAAAATGGCGTCAGTCTCGCAAGCCTTCTGGTCCCTTTTCACAGACTTCATTATAACGACGCCCTGAGATGCCTACAGCCGACTAGAACAAATAGTCGGCCTCGCGAGCCTTCTAGCCACTTTCCAATTCGGGTTCACTACAACGACTGCCTATACAGGACCGATATTTTCTGTGTT